AAGGCTATAAACCTACTTTGACTTTGTTTAATATTCATTATTGATATATGTTGAGGCTACAACGTCCCAAGTAATCAAGCACTGCCTTTGCATCATATATGGACGTGCAGGACTTAAGGGCCAATCACACAGACACATCACTTCAGAAACACCTGGTTCTGGGCTACTGTAGAAACATGGTGGAGTCCAATGAAGGTGTCTCATTCTAAGGTAACAAAAAGACAACAATTCTTATATTCAGGTGATAATACACAAATGAAAACATACCTGAATGAATATTATATTTAATTTCTGACAATATCTCCTCTTAAATGTTACACACTAGACCTTTAAGTTGTACTTTACACTGTATATTTCTGTTCAGATAATGAACGAACAGTACTGAACTGGTCGCTTTAATTTCTTTGTTTATTGACAGAAAACCACGTATACACCCTCTGAATCGACTCTTATTCTCTACAGAAAGTGCATCCTGGCTTTAAAGTGCTGTTCTGGTCGACACTCCAGGTTGAGAGCGGTGATACATTTTGACTGACGCCTTACAGTCCTACAACTCAAACCTTATCTCCTCCTGAGTTTTTATGACCACAGGCTTTTGACTTCTAATCAAAGAAGCAGATATTTTCTAACCCAGTTGTTCATCTTGTGCACAGACGATTTAACCGGGAGAATTTCATGCCGATTGAAGCAGTAGAAGAGCTCAGCTGTGAGTCACAGAACGTTGTCAGTGGAAATGAATGAGATTTTTACTTCAGGAACCACGCGGGGCCCAAAATAGGTCGTCCCACACAACTCTATTTAGCCATGTAGAAAACCGTCTCAGAGATCTCTGCCTCCATCCCAATACAATGAAAGTGGAATTTTATTTGTGGTTCTTAAAGCATTTGAATATTATTCCCAAAGTAATATGTCTTAACTTGATTAAAGGTTATATATAAACAATATTCATCACTGGATGTCGCCCTACAGCACCACCGTCTTAGACCAAAACAATGGGACAGAAACTAAATAAAACAACAAAACTGACTTTGTTAGTCTTTTCAACAATCAGAAACTCTGGTTTGGTTTTTTGGTTCCAAATAAACTCATATTTAACTTTTGCCACTGACAGACTCTGAGACTCTGTGTCTGACAGCATTATGGAAAGGATCCCTACAGAGATAGACCTTTAGTTTAACCACAAACAGCCATAATATCACTATCACTCTCCACCAGACTCCAGAGACAAAAACACTCATTTTACCTTCAGATCATCGTAACTTCATTCAAAGTGGACAGAAACAGAATAAAACTCAGAAGCACAAACATAAACCTCACCACTGGTTGTTAGTGTTTCCAAGCCATCGCCAACTCTGGTTTTGGTGGAAATAATCCTTAAATTCACAGCTAGATGTTAAAAACAGGCGTTTCAGTCGGAGCAGACTGGCTATGCTGCGATACAACACAGGCAGAGGGAGAGAGACACCATGTGACTCTGTGTCTTTATATAGAGAATAGCTGTTAGCTGATATATTAATGCTTTAAATCTCACATATATAAAACCTTTAAATGTTTTGGTTACTCTGGATTATCCACAAAATGCATTTCTTCTTTCACCCTAAACCTTATTATTATGGTGTTGAGTGGTTTTCTTCACGTTAAGCTAGCTGTGTGTTTACACAGAGACGCAGTTGTTTAGGAGGACCTCAGCAGCACTGCTGCTGTGCAGGGTTTTAGAAATACAGAGGTCCAAAAACTGAACTTGCTAGGGGGATTTTGTAGCATCAAAGTATCAAAATTGTTATTTTTAGGTTCAAGGTTGTTTCAAGTCCACAGAAACGAAATGTTGTTTTTTCTCGATCCAAGGTGCTATATAAATATAAATAATACACACAAGAAATACAACAATCACATGCATTCATACACACTGCAAACATTAAAACGCTGGGTAACGGGAGTGAGATATCTGTGTGTGAGTGGAAACAGTCAACAGAAAAAACAATGAATTATAAAAAATATAAATATAGAATTAATGATAATTACACTGTACAGAAGAATTAGTAAAGGACCATGAATTAATAAAAAAAATACTACCTAACTAATGAGCCCAGTGGTAATTATACAGTATAAATAAGAGGCTGCCAATTTAGACAATTATTTCACAGCTTTTATTGTAAAACCTTTAGAAGAAATACCGGAGACCTCAGTGGTGGATGAGTTGGCGGTACTCAGTAAGAAGTAAGGGGTACTCATGTGGACAAAAATCACAGTTTTTAATCAAAATAAAATAATATAAAAACATTTTATAGGTGGGAAAAACAACTTCAAGTCCCAAGTGAAGTGTTTAAAATGCGCCACCTAAAGCACATTATATGTATTATATTATATATGGAAGCTAAAGATTAAAGGGCAGGTCTGTTTTAAAGCAGACAAACACTAAAACAGACTGATACTCAACGAGCTTCCAGTGTGATTAATTGCTGTCGTTGGGTTCGTGACTATAAGTGACCCCTGTCACATTACCATTGATTTGATCCGTTGTTGAAATAGAAATATTGATTAGTGCAGCTTTAAAAGAGGGCCGCGCTTTCTAGGTTTTAGAAGCTGCAATTCACTTGACCGAGAAACGATGTTTATCCCGACTAAAACGACAAGCTTCATGACAAGCATTAATCAGAGTACATTACTTATAGGAAGGCTGCAGCCTTGTCTTCCTGCTGAGCAGCTCTGATTATGATTAGAGGAAGCGTTTCAGAGATTTGGCTCACCTGCCAACTCTGTCACAGCCAAATGGGCTCCAATAAAGGATGTTCTGACAGAATAACCTCACTTCCCACTATAAGGAAGTGAAAAATGAAAAATATATTCACCTGCCATTGTGACTAATGAGCAAGTCAGCTGTTATGAATGATTCATGCACTCTAAATTCAGAGTACACTGCGTTTCATTGATAATTTCCTGCTCACCTGTGGCTTAAGACATATAGTTCATAGCTGCAGGCTGAAAGCTGTGACGGCTGGTAAAATAGTTTATTTCAATCAGGTCACAATGAGATTAAGACCTGCTTTAAAGACCTAGCAGTTAGCATGCTGGCAATGACAATGCTAACATACAGATATATAGAGAAACTCTAATATTGGAGCACAGAGCTTGAAAAGGCATGGGACCTAGGAAGGATCACTTATTTGTTTATTTGTTTGTTTGTTTGTTTATTTTTCTCTTTTCTGTTAATATCTGCTGCTTGCATTCA